GACCGACTCATTTTCCAAAAATATCTTTGCAATTACAAAAAAATACAATTCAAAATGGAAATGCATTGAGTTCTTCTGGAGCGCTACTTTCTGGTTGTATTCATGTTGTATGCAAATTTAGTGGAAGTTAACTAATGAATTTGACAGCCCTCCAAAGAAAGCAGAGGACAGCTGAGCTCACAGAATATCAGTGAGCTGCTCGTTCTTCTCTCAGGGGAGAGAAGCAAACAAGGTCTGTCTTTTGTATTTGTCATATCTCCTCCAGCCCACAGTGGCCGCAATGTGTCCGAGACACTTTGGCTCACAAAGGACAGATCGACACCGAGGAGCCAGGGGAATTGGAGCATTGTGGGAAATGGCTTCCCTGTGGCCATTTTGAACACGCCAGGCCATCTCTCCCCACATGTCGTCTTCTCTTCAGCTTATCCAAAGGGAATTTTGTCCTCTCTCAATATGTAAGGATCATAGAGCTGAACAACCCAGCCCATCTGATGGACACTAAACACTGTGCAAAAACCTCAAGCACACCACCGCAGTCACAGGGGAAATACTGCCGTGTACCATATACCATATCTTAAATGCAATCCAGTAAAACTGTGCTGCTGTGTGGCATAAGACCACAGTCGTTGTATTTGCAATTCACTGATGGGGTTTCAGGCACACACTCAGTTCTGTAATCAAACAGAATAAAAATCTGAAAGCAAAAGACAGAAAGGCAAAAGAAGAATAAAGTGAACCCTCTAGTGGGAGGATGCAGGCGATTCGAGTAAATATATAATGATATTGATGCCTGTTTCAATGCCACAGCAACAAAAGTATAAACCCTAGGGCAACCAATATTCTGTGTTTTTTTAATTCAACAAATATGTTGACAAGGTTTCAGAACCAAAGCCGTGCCAAACACAATTCTACAATGTAAACTCTGCTCTCTCGTTGGTTTGCAGGCGCTTTTGGTTTTAAATATGACTTAAGATCAGGGGCCGTACTCACAAAGCCTCCTTAATAAGGTACTGAGAGTTGCACCTAGCAACTGATAATCAGTTTGTCAAACGAGACCTTGTGAAGTTGTGTTGCTGAAGGGCGTTGCCTTGCCTTTTAATCCATTTGATTTTGTGTTTGCTACAACAGTGAAATACGTCATTTCTGTTTTTATCAGGGGGCTGTGGCACCTTCCTATTAGCTCTTTCTAAAATATAATTTGATTATGGTTTTGTATTCAGTTGTGTGCTTTCAAACTCTTCCTGTCTGTATTTAATATTAACACAACAAAGTGTCTTTTTTTTTCCATTTTCCCTTTTCATTAGGAAATACTCTTTCTCTAAATATGAACTATAAAAAAATTCAAGAACTGCACCTTTTCTTGGGTTAGAATTTCCCAACTCTGCCGGTGACATGAAGCTGTGCCTGTCTGGTGTCATCCCACCATTATCCAACAGCAGGTTCCGAATGAACGAGACCGGAAATGAAATAGCAGCACAGCGAGATTAAAAAGGGGTACAGAGAGTGCTGTCTGTCCTGTGTGAAAGAGAAGCATGGCTCTATACTAACCCAGACAGTGGAGGAGGATTTCATTTTGTACTGGAAATGACAGCCCCAGAAGACCGACTGGGAGTGTGACTGAGGGAGGTCCGGTCCACTCTGGGAACTATTATCCTTCTGATGAAGATAGTAATGGTGTCTGACTGCATAATGTCCTACTGAGTATTCTCTACCAGTTTTTTTTTGATTCAGTCTTTATACACAAAGGCTTGGTTAGTCTCGTTCTAGTCATTTAAGCCCTTTATTAGACATTCACACTGAAAGCGTTTGGCCAGTTTGAAACAAGCTCTGGTGCCCTGGGATAGTTAGTTTGGTTTGGGGTGGTGGGAATTATTGAACAGCTCAGGAGCAGACCAAAGAACACCCGAGCACCATCAAATTGATCTCACCAAAAAACCGCCTGTAATTGCCATCTACAATTCTCTCATTATCGGTTTAAACTTTAGAAACTCTTCCGAGAGATTTTCTGTGTGCAGTTTGACCAGACTGATTAAATAAAAGCAACTTGCAGGTCATCAGTCACGACTCATGCCTCAAGCTTTTTCACTAAATCAATATTTGGTGTTTTAAAACTTCAAAATAACTATGTAGAAATTACCAATCGTGTTGCCGATGGTCTTCTTTGTCTGTAGGTCACATCAGTATTAATTTAATTCTATTTCGTTTCCAGTTGAAAACAGCTCACTGGAGCTTAAAGTCTCTGAATTGTATAGGCAGTATTGCATTGAGTATTTTTTTGTGTTTTAAACTAAATACTGGCTCTCCAGCTCTCAGGCTGGCTGAGTCAGTGCTTAAAAGTTCAGTGAGACGGTTGTCACGTCGATGATCTGACAGTCACGGTCAGAGTCATCACTTCCCTGAGCCAAGGGATAAAACTAAGAGACAGGGATGAGATTCAACATACTCATGCATGGATGTGTCAGGAGGCAATAAACAAAATCACAACTGATGCCAATTAGATCTTGCAATAATAAAACTTCCCATGAGTATCTATGGCTCAGGTTGGTAGAGGGTAGCGTTTTAAACAACTAGACATTTTAATGGTTATGTAAGGGTAGTTGCACCCTGCAGCAATCACAGCCGTTTTGAGGGCAAAGTGAATTACACAATTATACAGTGTGAAACATTTTTCTGCCTTCTACACATTGACCCAGACAGCTCTGTAACCTCCTGACATTTTCAAGCTCTATAAAGCATTCACAAATTAGCACTCAGAAGATAAAAGTACTGCCAAAAACAAAAGACAATTACTAAATGGAATACAAGAGCCTGTGTTCACCAATGCTGTTTTTTGAGCTGGCAAGGGGTAAGTGCAGAAGTAGAAAATGATTATTATGGGCTGAATTATCAGTGGTCGCTCAACATAAAATAAGTTAAAAGAAGGAATAAAGACTCTACGACTTCCCTCAGGTAAAATGTGGAACCATAGTAGACTGGGATTTTAACCCAGTTACACAGCATGAAGGGTGATTAATATTCCCGCTAATGGGAGGAGGCTGAGACATCGCTGGGTTTGAGGTCAAGCACGAGGCATAAACAACAGTGAACACTGGCAAGTGAAGGTGGGAAGTGCACACTGCATCAATCAATCCTGACGTCTAAGACAGGCGCAAGGGAGCTTCATCATCCAGGGGAGTGGGTGCTTCACTAAGTCAAATCAGACAGTGCTAATTAGTAATGTTTTTTTTTTCCTCTTTACAGGAACCAAGAAAAAAACCTTTCCAACTAAGCTTTACACAAAGATATACAGAGAATAATCATGCAATTAAACTCATTAAGTATGGAAAAATAGACCGTATATACAGACTGACAGTCTTCTCCTGTTGCACAAAGATGAAGCCAAAACACACCCTGTGATGGGCGCTGACATGTTGCACATTTGGAGCTAGAGTCTGCACAGTAGGGACTGGCTGGAAAACCCATGGTATTGGCCCTAATGTTTTAAGTTATAGCTCCTTCAAGTACTTTTTTTTTGGTAGCAGAAATGACACTTTTCTGAATAATATTTGAATTTAGAAGAATAAATGGGAACGTGCTGCTATGAAGGCTGAATTAATCTCATCGGTTATGGCAGTTACTCACTGTTGCCAAGTTGTCAACTTAAGATCACACTTAAGACTTCCTCAGAAGCAGTTTCTGACAAATCTTGTAACTTTTTTCCAGTACAGTCAATGCTGATTTTATACAAACCGTAATATGGCAATATCCTTAGACCCCAAGGAACTCCTTTAGCAGCTTATTTTCTTCCAAAAAAAAGTTGGCAATGCAAATAAATATGAATTAAAGTTCTTTCAAATAAGCAACAAGAACAGTAAATTAAATATAAAAAACCATTCTGCTTCCATCTTTCCTTCCCACTACTTGGCATATGTTTCTCCAACAGAAAGTTATGAAAAAAGAATGACACACAACTGTCTCACTAGACAAGTCCGGATCACCTGAAGTACTTATGACATGGAAAAGAAGACCGCTTTCTGCGATTATTTTCTCACAAGGAGTGAACTGTCCAGGGGTCAATGCCCAGATTAAATAGTCAAGCTGAGACCAAATGGGCACCATGGATATAGGACCACAACCAAGTCCCCTTACAATACCTGCTTTATATCTTGCTGTGTTTGCTCTCTAAAGTTGGAACTTAATAAAGGTCTTGCCTGTGACTCTTAATTTGACCCTGCCTGGAAACTTGCCCCGCTCTGAGTGGCTTTAGTAATAAATACCCAGAAATAGGCATATTTATTTTCATCACACCTTAAAGGGTTAAAGAACTATGTCATTGGCATTTAAAAGTGTTTATTTGTTATTTATCTACGTCCTTGTGGTTCCTCGTTGCTTTAATATTATTTCAGCCATGAAGCAGTTCACTTCTTACTCTAGTATATTCTACCAAATCAAAGGAACCCAAATGCAGACTATTTTACATCATGTAAAGAACAGGCTCATGCGTCTCATCCTCTTGACTGAATAGCCACTCCAGTCCCTTTGACCACAGCTGACTTCAGTCCATTGAATTAGCACACAGCCTTCTGGGCTACAGGCTCAGAGGCCATGTTGGAGGCTCAGTGGTGAATATTAGATTGCACGCCTCCAGATCTCATTAAAGGAAGCAACAGGACAATGTCTGCATCTCAAATGAGACCAGAGGCCATCAGGCATCCTGACTCCCACTTGGATGTAGTGATTTGATTGATATAGGGTGTGTGTGTGTGTGTGTGTGTGTGTGTGTGTGTGTGTACGTGCGTACATATGTGTGTGTGTGAGAGAGTGAGTGTAAGTGTGCGTCACCAAAGAACAGCAGGGTAGGATGTCCTTTTTGGTAAATGTTGTTAGGCTGCTTTAACAACTTACACAATTGGGGGAAATTGTAATATCGAGTCACAAAACAGGTCGCTGTAAAAGGGATTTTTTTAACTCTCCATTACATGCACAGGACATACGATAAAGTCAAATCGCAAGACACTTACGATATTCTCCGTTTGAGGGTTTTTTCCTCCTGTTGCTCTCTTTCCAAACGTCAGTTCACTGAAAAAGAAAAATCATAACGTCAGTGCCCGAAAAAACAAAACCATCATATGTTTTGAAGATTAAAGTCCACGAAGAATGACATTAAAAGCCAATAAGACAACGTTATATGAAGTACAAGTGATTCTATCAGCATACTGAGCCACAGTGCTCAGTGCAGTGTAAGAAAATGTGTCAAATGAGTCTATGAAGATGTATGAAAGAGGCTGCAGGAAAATGAAATTAGTGGGTCGATGTCCAGTATTAGCTTCGAATTATCAGCTAAAAGGATTAAATAACAAGGACGCACGTCTGAAGGCAGGACTTTTACGGTGGTTAAGCAGTAGCCTTTAATTAAAACAGTTCAGTGCCAATACCATGTCCACTATTAAGTGAGAGAAGTAGGCTGACACTCCAGAGAGGTGGGAGGATAAATAACTTGTCTTTTCACTATGAAGTCATTTTGTGTGACCTTTATATCCATTTAATTATATCTGTATCTTTACAGCAAATGATAAGCAATGCACATTTGTAATCCAATTTTTGTACCGTTTCCAAATGGATGTTATTTAGGATGTTCCAGTCTGTAAGGCTCTCAGACTGTTGCACTAAAAGTAAACAGCAGTGCTTGGTAGCTGGCGTTCCTGTGTGTGTGCATAAGTGTATGTTGGAGTGTGTCAGCGCTTCCGACATGCAGACAGTAGAGGAGCAGGAGAGAGAAGCTTTGGTGCTTGGCGGGTGTTAATATCTGACCCTGCTTGGGAGACTTGTAGCCTTTGGAGCATTGTCATCGTGAAATTGGGCAGGGATTCTTTATCTTTGAATCAGTCATTGTGGATCTCAAACAGTTAGGTTTTTGGAATAAAAGATTGTCTCTAACCCAAACTCTGTCCTCCTTTAAAAATGTTAATAAGTGTTGGAATAATTGGTGACAGAAATTGGTGGTCTAATTTGCAGGCAGCAGATGGCACGCCATGAAGCAGCAATACATAAACAACATATGTTGGGCCACTTTAATGGGTTCAGAGGACAAACAAGCTATATGAATCAGAAGAAAGTCATGGCTACTATTTATACCTCCCACTACACATACTCACAAGTGAAGCCTGATTGCGATGGCTTTTTTTCCACAAGATCTTTGATGGTTGAATCATGTGACGGATTGAGTTGGTAGAAACACTATTTGAAACATATGTGCATTTTGTGGAACCAGAATTGTAATACGTTAAATAAGACGAAGAATAAGCGCCGTTGACTAAATCCATATTCAATCTAATGTTAAAAGTTCACACGCCTTGACAAGTCCAACTCCAGCATGTCAACTGGCTTCATAGTGTTTCTTAATTGGCGCTTGCAAGTGTACTGCTGCAGAGAAATCTAGGATTATTATGGAAAGCGATAAAGCCAGAGCCCTGCAGAGAGGTGAGGTGTTACCCTTCTAAATTAGATGTAAGTGGGGCGACCAATATCACACCATGTAAGGGGGTTGACAATGTACATCAGCAGGACTGAGAATCACGATTTAAGGGAGCAAAGTTCATAGAAGTTCTGCAATAGGCAAATAAGTTTTAGGTTCTTTTTCATTGCTTTTACAAAAAAAATGGAAATGTGGATATTTTAAATGTTTACCAATCACCTCTCACAGGAAGTTATGTCCATTATCGACTAATTGTGGAAATTCAGTACCAAAGCTGGCCGGCTGTCTTCTAAAAGATGATGGTGTGAAAAGATATGAACAGCCGCTAATTAAAGGCTGATATTTACCAGTAGACAGCAGGAGGGCTTTGAAAGTCAACTCTGTGCTTTTACTGAAAAGGTGTTCAATGAATGTGCAACAGTCATGTGGGTTTGAAAAACAAACACCTAACCATCTGTCCATTGGGATATATGCTCCCAAAATAGATTTTTAAATGCCAGGAGATAACAGTCCATTGACACCAAATAAGGTAGGTGAAGACGGCCTAAAGGTGTGTCTATTTTTACTCTGAAAGGAGCAGGAGTTAACTCTTTACTCTTAGCAGTGAGGAACAGGGGCCCAACAGCCAAATGTCATACACTCCTAGGCTCCTCAGTAAGCCATCTCATGCTTCAATTTGTGAAATTCGAGAAACCCCTCCTTCATTCTCTTCTCTAATATTCAAAAAGGAACTGTGCTTTGCTGGCCTGCCCTTACACTAATATCCCTGGCAAACATTCACCCTGGGAGCTTGCACGAGGTGAGCTCGAACATCTTTACCAGAAGTTTCATTGCTGGTCTGAGGACAAAAGAAATCAGTCTCATCAGCAACAGAGTGGCCAAGGTGTACATATGGAGTAGCTTTGTCTTTGCATGATTACTGTGGGGCTTTCAGGCCTCTTTGTTGAATCAAGAGGGCCAAAGGTTGCAGTATGATGTGTATAGAAGCCAACAAAGACAATGGCGCCTCTGGCTCATCAACAAGCATCAATGAGTGAACGATTGCATGGCTAAACAGTGAGCGATGTAGGTCTGTATCGTGAAAAATATAAACACAAAATGAACAAAGCCCAGTTGTCTGTTTTAGGGATGAAGGTCAAAATACTGTATAGTAGGTTACATCTGTGATAAAATGTATTCAAGTTCAGATCGTTTAATTATACATACCACACCCTAAACATAAACCACATCAAACATATTCTACCTTTATCTGTATTATATATAAATGGAAAAATTCAATATCTGAAACATCCTGTCAAGTATGAATACCATGACCATTATTCTGGCAGGATTAGCAATACATATTGCATGACTGCACATTGCAGTCTTCTTAGATTCAAATATCTGCCACTGAGATAAACAACTGACCATTGCACTGTCCATTTATCTCACCCCTCTGAGAATCAAATATTCTCCAGTGTGCACAACACTGCAATACTCAAAAGCAATAGGAGGGATAACACTAGAGAAAAAAAGAAGAAGAAGAAAAAAACAATATTAAACTAAGGCTCATATTGGTATTTAGATCTCCACATCTATTTAATAAGAAGCAGAGGGGCCTAATGTTTAAGGAACAATGGTGGCCTCTCTGTTTAGCGGCAGAGACGCAAAGCCAATATCCGGAATAAAGATATTACCCCGGGGAAGGAAGAGCCTTCATCATTCTGTAGATCTCATGCCATCCTGTTTTTCAGTTTGAAGGCTGGATGGAGCCACCTCCATTGTTTCCTTGACGTTGGTTGCTTCCTTCCCAACAGACAGGCAGCCTTGACAACAGCTAGTCTGAGGCCCACTTGAATTTGGCTAAAAAAAAAAAAAAAAAAAACTTTGGCAGATGTAAAGCAACCAGGCTGTAAGCAAACAGCCAAAAGATGAATGCATCTCTGTTCTGCCAAACCTTCACACGGGGGCACTTGTATTTTTGTGGGATGTAATGGTCTGCCGTATGACACCGTCTGGTATCCTCCCTGTTTTGGAGCTGTTTACATATCATGCTTGAGTGATGGTTTGTTTTGTATGTGACAAGGTGGAAACTGGAGTTCACATCTTTTCTACTGTCTTCAGAAAAGTAACTAGACTATAAAATGTCTCTGCGGGCTTGGTTGTTATGGATAGAGTCAGCTTAAATCGAATGATGGGAAATGGTAAATGGACTTAGCGTCTTCTGACGTTTTCACACCACAGATCACACCTAACCATTCATTCACGTTATGTTAACAGTCCATCAGTATTCACTAATCCATTTATCAGGAGCAACTTGGGGTTTAGTGTCTTGCCCAAGGACAGATCGGACATGTGGCCGCAGGAGCGGGGGATCAAACCCCCAACCTTCCGGTTGAGAAACGACGGACTCTACCAACCGAGCACAGCCACCACATGGATGATATGGTCATTCATACGTCAGTCCTTTCTAGACTTTTGGATTATTGTTGAAGTATAATTTTCTTCTCCAAATATGGATGGAGAATATAATTGAAGTAAACGCAGTGAGCTGAGACAAAGAAGGCCAACACCTGAAAGTTTTGTTTTGCCACACACCGGAAAAAAAGATGTACGTAGTAGTAATCAGTAGTAATCATTTATTTCGGTCACAAGAAAAAAAGTACGTGGTGGAGGACGTGGAGGAGTGTCGGGCTCGGGTGGAGCGTTACACTCGACCCCTCCACATCATCGAGGGTCCTCTGACATTGTTCTGGCACCGCTTGATCTCCATCCATCTCTTTAGAGCATCAACAATGTAACTGTGTAAAAAAGGACCCATCCGGACTACTTTCCGCACATCAATCCTGCTCTGAATCAGTCTGCTCAGGCTGGAAAAATAATTAAATGTTTTGTTTGCTTTGTTTTTCTGCGCAAAGGAGAACAGATGGGTCTCTGCTGTCAGTTACTGTATGATCTGTTGCTCCAGCCTGGCCGGGCCTGTCAGTCAACATTTCTCTCTCTTGACATCAAAATGTTTGATAATCACGGCACTACAGATGCTGAGGAGGGGATGGAAAAGAAAGGAAACAGCCTGGTATGATGTGACTGCTAATTATGCAGCCTGAGATGTCTCTTTGTCATTGGACTAAATTGCATGACATTTTAGAATAAATTGCATTTTCGCCCATTTACTTGGCTGAATGTGTGAAGGAAACAATCAAAATCGCATGCAAATGAAAAATGAATAAGCGACAGGAATATACACAACAGCAAAGCCAGTGTTGGGCTTTGATTTGATTGTAAGAATGTAAACATAAAAATGTCTTGTCACTTTGATTATTCTTTGGCAAACATGTTTACTTCTCAAACTAGTGAACTCTTTGCACGTACACTTGCTCTGAGTGGATGGAAAACAGTTGACAAATTTAACTCTAAAGACCTAAAGTCGACTCAGAAAAATAGTTCCTAATCATAATCTGAAGTGTGCCATTTCTTGTAGAGGCTCTTTGATTGGTCACAAGGGCCCTGACTGACCTAACAGCAAAATATAAAGCCACTTTCTTGAAGTTTTTTTTTGACAGGAAACAGAAAATAGCAATTATCTCGGAGTCCTCATCACGAGCACAACTAAAACCTGGCTGAA